ACCACCACCTGGTAACCTGTGAATATTTCTGGTGATTTCATCAAATCAATTAATTTCTGTTTTTCATTCTGCACATGTAATTCCAAGTTTTTAAATTTTTCCATTAATGATGTCTTCTCATCCTTAGAGATTATTTGGATGACATGTAGATTGCCTTCCAGGAGGGTTGTTCTAGCTATTAGCTTGTCATAACTTTTTAATAGATTTCGATTGTCAATTTCAACAGTATGAATCTTTTCAGATAATCTATCTCTCAGTACAATTTTGTAAGGTTTCATAACCCATTGACATGGAGTGCATTTTGCCTGTCAAATTACGGTTATTATTTTCAATGGTGTGAATCCTTTCAGCCAACTTCTCAGTACTAGTCTGTAAAGTCCATATCATTTCTAAAAGTTTCCCATTCTTCACTCTTACTTCTTTAAAGATATGAGCTGGACAATGGTGGCTCACACCTTTAATCCCAGCACTCGGCAGGCAGAGGCAGGCGAATCTCTGAGTTTGGGGCCATCCTGGTTTACAAGAGCTAGTTCCAGGACAGGCACCAAAGCTACAGAGAAACCTTGTCTTGAAAACAAAACAAAAGAAGAATCAAGCTGTAAAATTTTTTTAAAGAAAGATATAATATGAATTATCAAACTGACAGCAGCTATGGCTAAGAATGTATACATTCCAGGTAGGTCATATGCCTCTCCTAGAATTTCATTCATGAGAGAAACAAAAAGGTTATTAAATTCTTGGATGTGGATATTATCTGAAATTATCTTAGGGGTGGTTTCCAATTTGCAAAAAAAAAATATCATAGTTAGCAGATGACTTATGTTAAAAATGCTGCAAGATTCCCGGCGGTAGTAGGCAGCAGGCCCACAGAGCAGCTAGTCCCAGGCCCCTAGCGGCTCGCGGTGGGTTCCGGTGCCTGGTCCCAAGCAGCCTGGGTGGGACCCAGCCATGCAGTGCTGGGCTGGTCCAGGCTCCCAGCAGCGAACGGCTGGTCAGGCAAGCCAGTGGGAGACACATGGACAGACACATCGTGCAGAATAGAACTGGATATTTATTACTTGGGGGGGGAGAAAGAGAAGAAGAGGAGAGAGACAGAGAAGGGAGTGGAAGAGAGGGAGCGAGCACCTGTGCCAAAAGGGAACAGGGAATCAAGATGGTGAGAGAAGGGCAGGGGTCACCGGGAGTGGGCGTGGCTTGTCTCTTAAAGTTAACCATAACAACTTACCTCTGGTTTAGTTGAGACTTTAAAGGTATAGTAATGACGTGGGCCAGAAAAACCTGTGGATTTTCTAAGCAGAACTCATAACTAAACTGAACAGAATTTTGTTAAAGAGACGGCGGTCAGGGCAGCCATGCAGCAGTTGCACACCGGTCACAGGAGTCAGGGGAATCTGCGGTAACCAGGTGGGAGCTGCACGCATGCATGTGGGGCTGGGGACAAGTCACGGGACCGCAGGAACCACAGCAGCTGTGTGTAGTGGGGGACGAGATGCAGTGTGGTGCCCCATGGGGTGGCTGCAAGGATGGGCGGGCAAGGCAGGAGAGGAAGCTGAACTGGGGCTGATGGGAGCCGGGAGAGCTAGCGCTTCTCCAGAACCCAGGTGGCTAGGTTTGGGTCCAGCTCCTCGAGGGATTTCAGTCCCAGCTCTGGCCTGGGCTGGTGCCAAAAAACAAACAAACAAACAAACAAACAAAAGCCTCAGTCAAATGGCTTATTTTTTTGGAAATTTGTGCCCCAAAAGTTGGGCACCAAATGAAGCATGATTAATAAAAACTCAGAGACAGAATTTGGGGTTCAACCTGAAGACCAAAAAAGCAAAGCAGCCAGCTACTGGCTCTTTCCTTGACTTAGTCTGAAAATGGCAATCCTGCCTCCAGGAATCTCAGACTGAGACAGAAAGAGAGCTGTCTCCTCCAGTTTTACATTCCTCTCTTTGGCTGGGATTAAAGGCATGCACCGCCCTGTTTCTATGTCAAACTAGTGTGGCTACTGGGATTAAAGATGTGCATCACTACTGCCTGGTCTGTAAGGCTGACCAGTGGGGCTGTTTCACTCTCTGATCTTCAGGTAAACTTTATTTATTAAAATGCAAATGAAATGCCACTACACACGCATACATACAAGCTTCATATCTGAGCCTCATGCTTTTCTCTCTAAGGTTAGGACGAAGGCAAGCACGGAGCTCCTGTTGAGCTTACTTAGTGCTGTACAGTGATCCCTGCCAAGGCAATAAGGCAAGAAAACAAGAACGAAAATCCTGACTAGAAGCAGAAAATGAAGCGCTCAGAGTGGGACCCGGTGTGTAGTGCACGCTGGCTAACCACCTTTTGCATTTCCAGGTTTGGCTTCACGTTCAGGGTAGAGAGCAAACATGAAAACTCAGGTCACAGCAGCTTGGCATGAATGGTGCCCCTTCCATTCTTAAAATTTAACCCACAGGGACTGGAGAGAAGCTCAGCGGCTAAGAGCCTTGCAGAGGACTTAGGTTTGAACCCCAGCACCCACATCAGGTGTCCCCGACAGAAGAAAAGACATAAACAAAGGCCTGGAGTCAGGCTATCCTGACTTTTAGTTTACAGTGGAACGCTGAATTTTGGCCTTCCCATTGTCAACACTGAGGGAACCCTTTTCAGACCGTGCTTTCTTAGAGACTGTCACTTGTGGTGCTTTCGATGCAGGGCCCCCAGGTGGCAGCTGTGACCATGACCCCGTTGTCTTTCAGCTATCATCGAGAAGAAGACCAATGACCTGCTGCTCCTGGAGTCAGTCCGGCGCCTGCAGGATGCGGAGGGGCCCGACGTGGATGTCCCACAACCCTTTGTCAACCCCTTCTGGGGCGGCTCTGCCCTCCTCAAGGCCCCAGAGCCCACAAAGGTTGTGCCCCCTGTGTTTGGGGCGGACTCCTTCAGTGACAAATTTGAAGAGGGTGAGTTTTTTCTCAGTGCCACCCAGGCAGGCCACTGGATAGAGTCCCTTAAGGAGCCTGAGTCCCTACAGGGTCTGTGGGCCAAGCCTCAGTTTCTCTCATTACTTCCTTGAGTAACATCCCTCTGTGTGAGCAATCACACTGTGGCACTGGTTTGAAAACACAGATGGGAATATATCCTTATGGAAAACTGAGGGGTCAGAGCAGAAGTAAGAACATATTCACTGTAGCAGCCCCAAACCAGAAACAAGCAAAAGATTTTGCACGTGCGCGCACATGCGCGCACGCACACACTCATGTACATACTCATTCAAACATACATACTCATAAACACACACTTACTCTCATACGCACATACATACATACATTCTCAAACACATACACACATTTGCACACACATACACATATTCTCAAGCATATACATACACACATGTATGCACACATACTCAAGTATACACATGCACACATGTATGCACGCATACACACACACACACACACACACACACACCATTCACTCTTAAGTCAGAACTTAACAAACAATGGAGTATTATGCAGCCACTAAAGCGAATGTCATTCTGGGTAGGATAGCTTGGCCATCAAACGCGGGCTGTGCCGTACAGTTGCTATGAAACCAGCTGTCCCCCACTCTTGCTTGGGAACTCCCTGAGGGCACATCTCTGCTTGGAGCTCTCCAGGGCTTTCCACACCACGCCCAGCTCGTCATGGAGTGGCACTGTCCCTGGGAAGGAAGTGAGCTGGGTGTCAACTCCCAGCTCCTCACAGAGCTCTGTCCTGGGTGCAGTGGAGCAGCCCCTGGACCACAGCAGCCTCCGGCAGCTGGTCTTGGAGAACTACCTTCAGAAGGACCGTGGCAAGGACCCACAGGACACCCTGTCGGAGAAGGGGGATGAACTGAGGCCCAAGAAGAAGGTGGTAGGCTGAGCTGCAGGTGGCTGTGTTCCACACCCAGAGATAATAAATGTTTTCTTCCAGAGCCCCAGGGCCTTTGCATGAGCAATGCTGAGTAGCTCCGAGGGCTGGAAACCAGCCCTATGGTGGGGTGTAGGACAGAGAAGGATGGACCTCAAAATCTGGGGCCCCAGGTTCAGTGCTCCTGGAAGAAGGGGTGTCCCTGAGGGACGCTCACAGGACCACAGGTGGGGTATGGAGAGTCAGAGTTTGGGGGTTCTGGTCCTCCAGGACCCATCCTTTGAACTCCAGCTTACTGAAAGGGGCCCATAGGGACTTCATCGATCGCACGGCTGGATCTGTTACACAGGGCCTTGCTGTGTAACCTAGGCGATCACCATGCTTGATCCCAGCGATTCTCTTGAAGTTGGCTTTCCATTTTTAGTTCATCTATAGGGACTGGGCTCTAGGGCCACTTAAGGCCCAGGTCAGGGGAGCCAGGGACTGCCACCAGTTTGTTGGGTTTTTGTTTGTTTGTTTGTTTGTTTTTGACACAGGCTCTCACTATGTAGCCCATGCTAACCTGAATCTCACTATTTAATCCTGTCTAAGTCTGGAACTCACAGAGATCCCCCTGCCTCTGCCTCCTGAGTGATGGGAATAAAGGTGTGCGCCACACTGCCCAGGCTGTGCTGTACCAAGCCCCCCCTCCCCAAAGCAAACAGAGCTAAAGGAGAGCTGCCTTGGGGCAGATGGGGAGATGGCACTGGCCACCCCTGGATGCAGCTGCTCCTGAAGCCCATGGACTTCTGAGCTGTTGGAACTTTTTGTTTTTGTTTTTCTTTCTTTCTCTCTTTCCTTTTCCTTCCTTCCTTCCTTCCTTCCTTCCTTCCTTCCTTCCTTCCTTCCTTCCTTCCTTCCTTCCTTTCCTTCCTTTTTTTGAGACAGGGTTTCTCTGTGTAGCTCTGACCATCTTGGCACTCTATCTGTAGACCAGGCTGGCCTCAAACTCAGAGATCCACCTGCCTCTGCCTCCTGAATGCTGTGATTATAGGAGTGTGCCAGGCAAAAGTCCTTTGTTTTTTGAAATGAGATTCCTGTAGCCTTCACACAACCCAAATACTTTTTGAGTTTGGCTACGCAGGAGTCAGCAGCCATCACGACTAGATCCAAGACTTCCTGTTTATTTGCACATGGCCTTGGCTGGGGTGGCAGGGGCTGGGCTGGAGAGCAGGCTGTAGGTCACCCGAGGCTGTGGCTCAGGACTCAGTCCTTCTCTTCCCCGTGAGTGATGATGTGGACTAAGTTCTTGTAATCGAGATTGCCAGTGACATCTGGAGGAAAGGCTGTGAACATCTGGTCGATCTGAGAGCAAGAATGGTGGGGACAGAGCCAATGAGAGTGGCAAGGAACAGAGAGGCCTGAGAGCCCAGGAAAGACCTGGGAAGGACCCCTGTTCCACAGCCGTCAGTGGGTCCGAGGCAGGAGGTCCAGCTGCCTGGGCACTCAGCCCAGGATACCTTCCTGGCTCAGCATCTGTGTCCACATGCTCCCGCGACCCCAAGGTCCTCTAGACACTCCAGGCACCCTGCAGTGGAGAATAGAGGTCCAACCGCACAGGGAGCTGGGTGGATCAGGTTCAGGTATGCCAGGGCCTGGTGGGGACTGCAGATGAATGCAGGTAGAGGGCCCGTTGTGGTCACATGGCCAGAGAGGTCATATTCTTGGAGGGAAACCAGAAATCGAGGTGGGTTATTTTACATATAATTTCCCTGTTTAAAAAGTATTGGGTGAAGCAGTCATAATGGTGCCTGTGATCCCAGCACAGGGAGGCAGACAGGTCTGGGAATTTAAACTCACCTGGATTAAGTAGCAAGTTCCAGACCAGCCAAGGCTGTGTAGTAAGACTCTGTCTTAAAAGGCACCCGCTCCCCCAACATGGTTTTGAATGGTTATTATTGGTTCCCCCCACTTTTCTCTATTTGCCATGCTGGGGATTGAACCCAGGTTTCCTTGCACACCAGGTGAGTACTCTAAGCCTGAGCTACAGTACCAGCCTTGTTAATCTTTATTTTGTGACAGGTCTGACCAAGTTGCCCAGGTTAACCTTGAACGCTATAGCTTGCACAGGCCTTAAACCTGCAATCCTCCTGCCTCAGCTTCTCTGGTAGCTGGGATGGCTATAGGCTGCCATAGGCCTGTGTCATGAGACCTAGATGGCTTGATTTGTAACCACCAAAAGACACTGTGCCCTGACCCTGTGACGGCATTGTGCACTGTGAACACCACCGAGCCTTGTGGCATGTGGCGGTGGATTCTGTTCTCATCCCACCTTGACAGATGGGGAGACTGAGGCACAGTGAGGTTAAAGTCTAAAGTCCCATGAGTGATGGAGTGATGATTCTCTCAAGGGATATACACCAGAGCAAGGCAGAGCAAGGCAGGGCTGGGCAGTGGGGACACCGGGAACCCTGTACCTCCTCTTTGGAGAATCTCTCTGCTTGTGTGGTCAACATCTCCCGGACACTGTAGGAGAGGAGAGAGCAGGTGATGGTGACATATGTCGGGGGCGGAAAGTAGGGACCCCACTCCCTCAGAAGTCACTCACTAGTCAGCCTTCAGCGACCCTTTGCCTTCAGGGTCAAACACCTTGAATGCGTTGAGAATGGTCTCCTCGGGGTCAGCCCCTGTAAGAGAAGGTAGGCTTACCCATCTGTTGGGACTGGAGCCACTGGGGTCCCCCTGAGCCAGAGGGGCTGGGGAAAGGCCATTTCCCTCAGGGAGATCTGGGTTTGAACAAGGGCTGGGGAGTTGGCTCAACAAGAGGGTTTGCTGCTCACATCTTCCTGTAACTCCGCCTCTTCTGGCCTCCGTGGGCACTGAACGCGTGTGCTATGCGTGCACACTGAACACATGTGCTATGCGTGCACATATACACATAAATAGTAATATCTTAAGAGAAGGCTGAGGAGCCAACAGGAAGTCAAATGCAAGGGAGGCTTCCAGAACAAGACTGAGTAGGTTGACTCTGGTACTCTGTGGGTTGCAGGGGGGTTCAAGTAAGTTGTCTTTCTGTCTCTGAATCCACCATGACCTGGGGGGTAAGAGTAGAGCCAGCCACTCAGGTGCTCCAAAATATGTCAGTAACTGAAGCCGATCAGCCAAGGCTGGGTAAAGGACTTGGAAATAGCCCATTGCAGAGCAGCCCTGCTGGAGGAGAAGTACACTCCCACACCGCCACTGGAGGAGGAACCCCCTGGCCCACCACCAGGTGAAGCTGCAACCCTGCTTGCTTTTATGCTATTTTTCTTCTTTTTATTATTTTTCATGTGCATGAGTCTTTTGCTTGCATATATGTCTGTGTACTACATGCGTGCCTGGTATCCAGAGAGAGCCTTGGACCTCCTGAAACTGAAGTTACAGACGGTCGTGAACCACTATGTAAGTGCTGGGAATTGAACCTGGGTCCTTTGGAAGAGCAGCCAGTGCTTTAAACCATTGAGCCATCTGTCCAGCCCTTCCACACTAGTTTTCAATGGATACTTTTCCACTTGTGAGTTCCCATCTTTCGCCCATGCTGTCTCTTCTAGAGCTTAATTCATGCCCACAGGTGAACACACACGCGCACACACACGCATGCTTACACTCACATGCACAAACTCACCTTTAAGTTTCTCCCCAAACATGGTGAGAAACACAGTGAAGTTGATCGGACCCGGAGCCTCCTTGATCATTTCATCAATCTCTTCATTTTTCACATTCACGCGTCCTAGCCGGAAACACTGGGACTGAGTGCTGGGGCGGGGGAAGCTGTGGCCCTTTGTGTTCCAGCTTTCAGGAAGCTGGTCTGGGAACCATCGGGGACAGTGGTGTGTGTGTGTGTGTGTGTGTGTGTGTGTGTGTGTGTGTGAGAGAGAGAGAGAGAGAGAGAGGACAGACAGACAGACAGACAGACAGACCTAGGGTGGATTTCCCCAGCAGTGTTCTCAAGCAGTCAGCCAGCATCTGATATGGACTGGGGTGGTTAAAACAGTGTTGTCAAGGTGGGGGTCATGCTTCAGGGGATTAAGTGGTGGCCTAGAATGCAAGAGGCCTTGGGTCCCACCCCCAGCACCTCATAACCAGGTGTGGTGGCGAATGCCTGCACTGGGAAGTTCAAGGTTCTCCTGGGCTACATAGTGAGGTTGAAGCTAGCCTGGGCTACATGAGACTTGCACTCATTAAATGAATAATGTCTTCAGGCCTGAAACCTTTAATATAAGTAGGACATGCTTGTGTTGCGATGCCCTTCTGAGATGCGGGTAGAGGGCTGCGTCCAGGCTTGCTGCAGCCTGAGCTGCACGGTGTCACGTCCGTGCTTGCTCTCCTGCACACGTCTGCCTCTGGGCAAACCAGATAAAGCTGGTCCCTTCCTAAGACTACGTTTTTAAGGTAAAAGGTCGCAGCAGATACAAAGGTGGATTGTGTGGTGTCCAACTCCCAGAGCTGTTCTCGGAGCCCTGAGTTCTGCGGATGCGCACAGGTGGGACTGGGAGGCGGGCTCACACTCTCGAGATGCTAAATAAGCCAAAATCCCAAATGGGATGACCTCAGTAGCTTGAAAAACAAATATCTGGAAGGATTTTAAGGACTGAGACTGAAGCGTTGATCAGAGCATAGCCTTCTGGGTAATTCTGTTTTCTCTTTTATTCTTTTCTGAGTAGTTTAAATTTTTTATTATGAGCCAGGAGTGTGTTATAAAATCTGTCTGTCCTGCCCCCCTCCCCCCACACCTTGGGTTAAAAGGAAAGAAGGAAGCGTGCGAAGGGAAAGGAGGAAGCATGCGAAGGGAAAGGAGGAAGCGTGCGAAGGCCACCGGAGTGGCTCGCAAGCCTGGTTGCAGCTGAAGCCTTGGCAGATGACAAACAGGCTCTTGGCTTCTTTTGATGCCCGCACCGCCCCTCCTCCACCTTCTACCCTAGTATGGGAAGGCACTCTCTGCGCAGGGTTCGTGCCACATACCTAGGGCAGCAAATGTGTCCCTCAGGTCGTTCTTGTCAATGAAGCCATCTCTGTTCTGGTCCATGATTGTGAAGGCCTGTGGGGCAGGCAGAGTTCAGCTGAGGATGGGGAAGGGGTTTTCTGGGAGCTTCAGGGACCACAGCACAGAATGGATTGAAGAATTGGAAACAGTCTGAGTTGATTTAACTGCAATGTCCCCGTTAGGCCAAAACCCTCGAGAATCAAAATCATGTCCCCATAAAACCCTGTCCAGAAGCTGAGCGGTAGAGGTGCACGCCTTTAATCCCGGCACTCGGGAGGCAGAGGCAGGTGGATCTCTGTGAGTTCGAGGCCAGCCTGGTCTACAGAGTGAGTTCCAGAACAGTCAGGGCTATTACACAGAGAAACCCTGTCTCGAGAAACAACAAAAGACCCTGTCTAGACATTCTGATGTGGGAGAGCCCCAGGCATGCACTAACATACTTCAAAGGAGGAATGAGACACCAAATGAGGCTCATGCTACCGAGCATGGTTCAGTCCTGAGAAAGAACAGTGGTTCCATCCTTGTCACGGCAGGGTTTCACACAGGGAGCAAGGTCACCAAGATGACTGACCATGGGCCACTGGTTGCCTGGGTACTCCAGGAGAGAACTGACCTCAGGCATCAAGCTTCCTTTTTTGAGGTGGCAAGTGACCTGAGGTTTCATGGTGGTAACTGGTAAAGACACGGTAAGAGTAGAACCTGGTGATCCACAGGAGGCGGTGCTCCTGGCTTCTGAGTTAGCAGGGACAGAGGTACCTAATCTTAGAACCGACGTAGAAAGGCTTCTGTGACTGCAGCACCCACCCCCACCACGAGCCAGGTGTGAATGAGGAACACGTGGTGCTGCTGGGACATGACTCTGACCATGGCCAGTGGCTTCATTTAGCCACTTTAATTAGGGCCAGAGGGCTTGCAGCAAGGCACAGCCCGCTGTTGAGGGCGACAGGCTTCACACAGAACCGCACTCAGTTGTCCGAGGTGGACCTGTCCTTTCCGCTTTGGCACTGGAGAGGAAATTCCCCACGGTTGATGTGCAGGGACGCGGCAACGATAGACACAACAGTGATGGACATGGGTGGACGGCCATGCTGCCCAGCCCACACACCAGGACCCAGGCAGGGAAGGGGAATCAGGAAGGACTACAGGGACCAGGGGCTGGCCATACCCTCCCCTCTATCTGTCCTTCATCTTTTTGCCCCCCACCCCAAGCACAGGAGCGACTGAGGATCTCAGGACACAGGTGACCAAAGTGTTGGTGGGAACCAACACTGAGCAAAGATTGCCAGTGGGCGACTGTGGCTCCCCAGCACCTCCTCTCTTCTGGGCTTTTCTGGAAGATTTCCTGTATGCCAGCGGCGGGGGGGGGGGGGGGGGGCGACATGCACTTTTTTTTTTTGATAATCTATAGAAGTTACTAAAACCAAGTGTTTGTTGAGGGGTTTGCAGACAGTCTGGATGAGCCTGGGTATGCAGGTCATTTCCCCCGTTGGGTGTCCTTCATCTGGGGAGGGGACTGCCACACCCACCTCCTTGAACTCCTGGATCTGGGCCTGCTCAAACATGGAGAACACGTTGGAGCTTCCGCCTTCGATCCTCTTCTTGGCTTTCTTCGGTGCCTGGGGAGGAAGCAGCCATTAGACACCGCTGAGGCCCAGGCCAGCCCCGCCGCCTGGTGAGGGAATCTCCTTCGCCCAGACAACATGAGAGAGAAAAAGACGCTTGAAACCACGCAAACGTTATCTCATTCTCTCTCGGCTCCACCAAGGAGACGGACTTACTGGAGGCTCAGAGAGAGTGAGTCACTTATCCCAGGCCACACAGCCACAGAAACCCACACAGTCTGTGCCCCCGCCACTGTCTCGCTCTGACTAGCAGCTGGGGACTAGCAGGTGGTCTGGGAGGCACACACCTACCCAACACTACAAAGGAGAACCTTTTAACAGTTGCAAGTTCAGAAGATAGAACCAGGAAAACTTCCCAGGCTGCCTGAATGGAAAACAAACAAACAACCCAAACCAAAACCCAACCCAAACCAAAAACCTCCCCCTTTCTTATTCAATTTTTGCAAGTCCCCTAGGGAGCTGCTCTTTTTGGCTCCTTGGGGACACTGATTGGGGTCACTCTGCATGGCTGGTGCACAGTGCTGGTCCATCTAGGGTTGGGGGGGTATGCGAACTTCCCTCCTCCTCCAATGGGGTCCTTGGCTTACAGGGTGCCTCTTGATTGCCCACCCTGCATCTTCCCTCAAGGGTCCGCTGGCCACTCACCATGGTGTCTGGAGCAGGCTGCTGCCTCTGGAGAATTCCACGAGTCTTCTGGCCTGCATCTGCTGTGGAACAATAAATACTTCTTCCCCGGGGTTAAAAATAACCCCATGACCACTTTTGGCAGTTGTAGGTGAGGCAGAGGCCACCTAAGCCCCCCCACTCCATGCCGTTCTTCTGAAGTAAGAGCTGCTCACTGGCGGCCACCGCCTGGACTGACACGTGAGACCCAAAAATGCCTTCAAGGTTAAAGAGGCAGTGGCTGGAGCCTGGCCTGGGAGTGATGCTCGGTGCCTGCCACGCCTGTTATTGTCTAGTGGGAGAAAAGAACCCAGGAGGAGGAGGCGTGAACCTCTGTAATTAGGTTCGCTTGCACCTTGGGGCCTGTGCACCTGCGCTCCTTGGGCAGCCTCTGGGGCGCCCTACCTTTGCTCAAAAGTCACCCACCCTCATTCTTGGCCTTCCTGATTTGTATCCCTGCCCCACCCCGCCCCGCAGTGTTCACGCTCTGAGCAGGCAGTGTGATGGACAGCCAGCTCTCGAGGCTGGGGCCTTCTCGATGCCTCTCCCTCTCTGGTCTGCTTCGCACGAAAAGCTTCTTGGCGGCCCACACTTGTTGACCTACTGAAAAAATGACACATATCACACTCACATTCAAGTCTCCAGCCACCTCATGGGAGCGAGGTCACCTTAGCAATTGGGTTCCCATCTCACAACTATGAATAAAATGAGCTCTGAGAGGCAGGCCCGCTGCTGGGACAGTGGTAGAGTGGCCTATGTCCCCGAGTGCTGGGGGACCAGAGTGTGTCACTGCATCCACTCCTTTTGTTTTTGAGACATGGTCTCATTTGTAGCTGAGGGTTGCCTTAAACTCAAAAAATAAAAAAGGGAAACACAGGGTTTATTCTTCCATTTCTTGCATTCAGGGTGGCCTTGAACTCACTATGCAGCTGAGGCTGACTTTGGAATCCTGATCCTTCTGCCTCCTCCTCCTCTTGAGAGCTGGGAAGATAAAGATGAGATTCGGGCAGCCCAACCTTCGTTAGGTGACAGTCATTTCCTTCTGAGGTCAAGATTGTCTCAGTCAGCAGGGCACAAACGTATGGCCAGATATAGCTATTAGAAAGAAGAGGGGCACTAGAAATAGCTCAGCGGTTAAGAGCACTGGCTGCTCTTCCAGAGGATGTCGGTTCAGTTCCCAGCACCCACACAGCAGCTCACACCTGTCTGTAACTTCAGTTCTGGAGGATCTGACACCCTCACATAGACATACATAATAAGAAAAGAAAAGACGGGATACGGAAGGTAGGGAAGGGAAGTGGCGTACACCGGTTACCCCAGTACCCAGGACAGTGAGGCAAGAGGATCAGGAGTTCATGGTCAATCCTTGGCTACATAGTGAATTCAAGTTTAAGGCCAACCTGGGCTACATGACTGTCAGCAAAACAAAATACAACAAATTGACCAAAAACCCATTTCCCTGGCTTCTGGAGATTGTGTTGAGGTGCGTGTGACTGGTCAGGAGTCAAGGTGACTGAGAAAGGAGGTGACGCACAACGGTGTGAGGCTGGAAGTTGACGTCTGGCATTGCCATGAGCCTTGGGCCCCCACTTTTCTACTGAGCTGTCTGAGGAGCTGACTTATGTTGCTGTGTGGGAGACTTTCTGGCGATCTGGTGAAAAAACCCTGGCCTGAGAACCTCAGAACTTGGGGCAGCAGACACTTGTCCATGGACCTCCACAGCCTCTGTGGGCTTCTGTTCCTTCTGGTAAACATAGATGTGCTACCTGTCCCTTGGACTGTTGGACTCAGTGAAGGAGACAGGAGGATTCTGGGATTATGTTGGCCCAGCCAGGGTGCAGAGGCACGCGTTGCTGGAGGTGCAATGTTTCTGAACTCTCAGTCAGAGGCCGAATCCTTGACGAGGCCTAGGGTGGGTCCAGCACTGACACTGCTCTGTCCCTAGGCTCTTGGGTAACACCCACTTTGTGGCCCCAAGCTCTCACTACTTGTGAAATTTCTGCAGCCTAGAAGTTTCCAAGATCCATTGAGCATTGAGAATTAGGACCTCCACCCAAGCAGAATTGTCAGAGCCTCCAGAACAACTGAGAACAAAGCGAGGGTATGACTTTCCCACTGCCCTTAAAAAACACAATGGTAAACCCCGTGGCCCACAGCAGCCAAGCTTGTTATCTGGCGGGCTGGCAGTCAGAAATAGAAATCGAGCAGAGTGCTGCGTCCCACTGTGGATGTGGGGACAGTTCCTTACACCTTCCAGCTTCTGGTAGTTGCCAGAATTCCTGGGCTCACATCCACATCAGAGCAGCCTCTGTCTGGCTTTTCTGGCTCTTCAGTGTCCCTCACAGGTAGTCACAACAATAAAGCTTAAATGTATATAAATACATGGAAAAGTACACACCAAAGAATAAAAGGAAAACACATTCTGTCCCCAAAATAAACCAAGGTCAATACTCTTGAATAGTGTATATATGTATATGTGTATGCATACATAGCTACATCTATACATATACACACACACACACTGCGCGTGCGCACACACATTCATGCACACACACACATCCATTCAGGTGCTGGGGAGACAGCTGGGCAAGGTTGGTGCAGGCTGAAAGTCCGTCACAGGGGACATGGGAACAGGAGTTCTCTGGCTCGCTGGTCAGCAAGTGCAGCCTACAAATAGGGAGTCCCAGACTCTGTCTCAAAAAATAAAATGGATGGCGCTGGAGAGATGGCTCAGTGGTTAAGAGCACTGGCTACTCTTCCAGAGGTCCTGAGTTCAATTCCCAGCAACCACATGGTGGCTCACAACCATCTGTAATGAGATCTGGGGCCCTCCTCTGGTGTGTGGGCATACATGGGAGAATGTTGTATACATAATAAATAAATATTAAAAAAAGAAGAATTTACTTTAAAAAAATAATAAAATGGATGATCTCTTAGAAATGACCCTGAAGCTTGACCTCTGATCTCTATGGGCACACACAGGTGCACATGACAGGTACCTGAACTCACTTGAGTGTGAGCACACACACACACATACATGCACACATATACACACACAAGTAATTACCCATTGACAATTTTAATAGTTGAGAGAAGAAGAAAATATAGGCCATATTTATAAATACAAAAATGATTTTACCCCCATTCTTTTTTTTTTGTGGGGAGGATCTCTGTGTTTAATATATCGAACCTTGGAAGCAGCTGTGTCTAAGACAATGAAGCCTTCTTTCTGCCCTTTTAAAATACCACGTGATGGTGCCAATCCGAAGACCACCCGTTCCTCACTGCCACCACCACCAAGAGGTGGAGGGAAAGGATCCCGTAGACTAGGCGGTGCCAGCTGTGGATGACCCTTGGACTTCCTATGTAAGAACGCAGCTGCTGGTCTGTTCTCAAGAGAGGGGTAAAGAGATTTGTGGAGACGCTCAAATAAGAGGGAGCCTTTTCCTGGAAAAGGGAACACCGTGGGCCATATCTTGAATCAACTAGGACCAGAGTGAAGCCCAGGCCGCTGTCAGGCACCGTTAGCATCACCAGGACCGCCTCTCGGGGCGCGTTACCCCTCATTCTAAAGGACTTTCTGTATTTATTGGAGCTCTGCTGTGTGTAGGATTCTGTGCACACCTGGAGTTGGGGGATATTGGGGTTTAGGTATGTTGTTTAAACCCCAAATACAAGCCAGATGGTGGTGGCACATGCCTTTAATCCCAGCAGTCAGGAGGCAGAGGCAGACAGATCGCTCTGAGTTCAAGACCAGCCTGGTCTAGAGTGCGAGTTCCAGAACAGGCTCTGGTAGAGCTAGGAGGTGGGGTCTGTGAGAGGTGACTGAGGTTAGGTGAGGTCATGAGGGTGCCCCTCATGGGGTTAGTGATTTAGTAAAAAGAGGACAAGGACTACTAAGCCCTCCACCCTCAGTAGCCTCCGGCCTTTGAAACAAATCTCTTGTGTTTGCAAACAACCCAGCCTCTGGTGCTGTGTTATAGTAACACTGATACACTGATAATTAACTCAGCAGAGGTGAACTTCGAGAATCCTGAGTTATATGCCCAACTGTTTACAGTATAACACAGCAGAGAAGGAATATCATTTATTTTCTTTTTTTCTTTTCTTTTTTTTTGGTTTTTCAAGACAGGGTTTCTCTGTGTAGTCCTGGTTGTCCTGGAACTCACTCTGTAGACAGGCTGGCCTCGAACTCATTACGATCCACCTGAATCTGCCTCCCAAGTGCTGGGATTAAAGGCATGTGCCATCAATACCTAGCTATTTTCTGTTTTGTTTTGTTTGTCTGTTTCATTTTTGCTTCTTTAGATCAAATTTCATGTAGCCCAGGCTGGCCCTGAACTGATTGTGTAGCAGAGACTGACCTTGAACTCCTGACCCTCCTGGCACCACCTCCTAGGTGCTGAGTCGTCCTATTAAATGCCCTTGCTCTTATAGGCCTAAATATTGATTTATTCCTCTAAGCAAGCAAAGAAACAAACCAAACAACCCCCAAATGCCAAACCTCAGGGAAATTCACGTAAACTTCAGAAATGACCAGATGGAGTCAAGTCTTCTCCCCTGCACTAAAGGGGAAGTGGGTTTACAGGCTTCACTGTCTCCAGCTCCAATCCTGGTACTGGGTTAGAAAAGAACATGTTTTAAACTGACAGTGGTGGCGCACACCTTTAATCCCAGCACTCAGGAGGCTGAGGCAGGCGGATCTCTGTGAGTTCGAGGCCAGCCTGGTCTACAGAGCAAGTTCCAGGACAGCCAGGGCTACAAAGAGAAACCTGTCTTGAAAAACAAAACAAAACAAAACAAAAAGATGTTTCTTTGGTACAAAAGGATGGACAGAAGTGACTGATGGTGGTTCTGGTTGTAGGGGCGCCAGTGTGTGCCACACAAGAACCATCCACAGAGAGGACACAACTCCTTGGGCTGGAGAGACTGTTCCCATGCTCAGAACAAGGAGAAACCACCAGATCCTGCAGTTTGAGGAACCACAAAGACATCTGACATAGTCCCTGGCAGAAACGCGTGGCCCTGTGAAGCGACTCAGCCCACTTAGGAATGTCTGGACTTCTAGGGAGGTGAACAGGACTTCGGTCCACACACCCAAATGTGATGAAGCATTTGGCATCTGTCTGACTGGAGCCAGGGGGAATATTCACCTTTGATTCTCCTTGCTTGGGCACTGAGCAGCTGTGTGACATCAGCTCCTCTCTGAGCCTCACTGTGCTCATCTGTAGAGTGGGCATGATAATGATGTTACCCTCTTAGGATTGTCATGAGGATAAAATCAGAGTTTTGGGGGGTTTTCAAGATAGGCTTTCTCTGTGTAACAGCCCTGGCTGTCCTGAAACTCACTCTGTAGACCAGGCTGGCCTCCAACTTACAGAGGTCAGCCTGCCTCTGCTTCCCGAGTGCTGGGATTATAGGTGTGTGCTACCAACACTCAGCCAAAATCAGATTATTTTGTGGATGTTGACCTGGGGACTCCTATTGGGGTGAAGAGCCTGCTAACTTGCCACTCCCCAGGTCTGGGGATTGGTCTGATGGTGAGGGGCAAGCTTGGGAGTATAACGTCCTTGTAGTATGGGCTGTGGGCACTACGGAGACCCATGGTCAAGGTTCCCATCTGAACCTGGGCCTGACACCTTCTCCACCTGGGCTCACAGTGCTTCTGAAGAGAGCCATGGAAGGAGGGTACATGTTCTACTGGTCTCAGGCCCTGGGTGGAGCTCCCATTTCTGGAGGCCGGTTAAAATAACAGTTTCATTTCTGAACTTAGCAGTGAGCATGCACTGGAGTCAAGAGCACCGGAGCCAGAGATGTCTGAAGCCAGGATGACAGGGGAAGAATAGTAAGGAAAGACTGGGGCTGGAGTTTCTAGTTTGGGAAAAGATGAAAGAAATAAAGGCTGGAGAGGGCTTGGATGTCAAGGGGACTCACTGCTCTTCTAGAGGAGCTGAGTTTGGTTCCCAGCACCCAGACAAAGAGGCTCAACAGCCACCTGTAACTGTAGCTATAGGGATTTGTCGCCCTCTTCTGGCCTCCCAGAACACAGCACTCTCTGGGCATATCCACATACATACATATATACAGACAGACAGGCAGACATATAATTAAAAAGACTAAAATAAATTAAAAAACAAAGAAAACTAATCCGGAAACAGGGTTCCTGTTAAAGTAGAATTTGGGATAAATTGTGAGCAATTTGGAGATTTGGGTGTGCAGGGGTGTTTAATGCCTTTTATCCATCTGTTTGAGACAGATTCTCACTATATAGTCCAGGCTAGCCTTGAACTTGGGATCTTCCTGCCTCAGCCTCTTGAGTGTTGGATCACAGGCCTGGACCACCATGCTCAGCCTGGAGAGGATTTCAACTCATCTTTTCTGCAGGTGCCTTTCCCATGCCAGCTGCCAGAACGGAGTCTAAGCTGTGTGGTTCGGCTGTCAGGAGCGAGGCCCCTTGTGCCTTGCCGACATGGTTGGTTTTGGAACTTCTCAGTAGAGCCCAGGAGCTCAGAGTGAGCAGCAGAGCGTGAGGGCTGGTCTATCTCACTTCAAGGGCTGGTCTATCTCACTGAAAGGGCTGGTCTATCTCACTGAAAGGGCTGGTCTATCTCACTGAAAGGCAGAGTAGGTGAGGGGAGGTACTCACCATGTCTTTCTGGTCTCTTCAGAAAGTGGCTTCACCACGGCCAACCTGCCTTGGGTGCTGGGCCATTTAAGGAGGGTGATGGAGTTCGAGTCTTTGTAGAAGGAGGGCCCTGACCGCCTGGAGCTGTGACTGATGGCTGCTGTCTCCACGGATAGCTTATCTCCTTCTGTCAAGACTCCGAAGGTGCTGGTGACAGCCGCCCCTGGGGAAGCAGTCACTCCAGCTGGCCAGGGGGAATAAAGGGAGGTAGCACCTGCTGGGGGCACTGGGTGCTGAGTGCTGCCCCACCAGGCACCATGGCTCTGTACTTCAGCTTCTTCTAGAAGATGGACACACAGAACTACCTTCAACATTCTAGAATGCTCCTGGGCACAGCTGTGTTCAGTCAAGTCAACTCTTACACACAACGCTGGCTGGACACAGAAGCATCGCAGTGTGAAATCCTTGTCCCTCTTTGTCCCCCAACTCTATTTTTTCATTTCTAACTCTCTCACTGATTCCCAGACCCAAAGCCCCTGCCATCTCGATTCAGCCCTGACAAGATGTTTCTGTATTCTGCCCCGATGATGCCTTGCTTGTGAATACAGTTCCCTCTAATTCCACCCCAGATCTTGCTGATGACAGTAGCTACCATTACTTTGGGGTCTCCCCTCTACCCCACACTTTGCACACTCCTAACTCTTTCCTCTATGCCCCGCTCTGATGGCCCCTCTGGACCACTCTGCCCTCCTTAGCCCTACAGTTAAAATTGCTTAGCAATTGACCTTGACCTGCTAAAGTGCCACAACCATTGACCTGGGGCTCCAGGTCAGCTTTCCTGGGGGGCCCTGGATGATGACTTCACCAGACCCAACCCTGGCATTGTCACCCTGTGAACAAGCAAATAACTCTAGTCTTAAAGCATCGCTGTTATTAAATGATGGTGAGCACCAGCTAACATGTACTTACTTTGTGCTACGGCTGCAGGTGGCCTGTGCAGTTCTAGTTGCGGGAGGACAGACAGACAGACAGACAGACACACACACAGTGGGATTGGGGAGAGAGAGAAATTGAGATTATTGTCTTCTGCCTTCCTGGCTCCACTTCCCACTCCAGGGCCGCAGACACTCCACTCTTTAGGACAGATGCTCCGAGCTGGCTGAGTTCGAATGGACACGCCCTAGGCCCTAGAAGAGACGGTATAGCTTGTGCTGGGTCCTCAGGACTGGACGAGGGCTTCATGCTGTGGCATCCCCAGCCTCTGAATGGTGATCTTCCTGTGCCAAGTGACAGCAAGCACTTACCACCAGCTTGCCCACCTCTCCCAGTCTTCTCCCTGTCTATTTCACCCCAAACCACACAATAGGGCAGATGTTCGTATCAGATCCTTTTCTCAGATGAAAAGAACTGAGGTTTGGAGAGGATCCTTGCTGGGCCTTATAGTCAGAGCCTCTGCCTTGGGCAATGCGGATTTGGCACCCAGGTTGCTGGGGTTTCTCTCTGCACCTCCCTTTGGCCTGGGATCCAGCTGCCCCCAACTGTCCCCCACTGGGAGCCAGACACTATTGGTGGCTTTTTCTCCCATTGTATTTTCAGCCTGGGCTGACTAGCTGGCGAGGCGCCTTTTACCAGCGCCCTTCAAATACCCTCCGCAGCTGTCCTGGCGATCACGACATTCCATGGCATTGTCCTCTGTGTGAGGTCCAGATGCCAGTGACAGCTGTGGCCTGACCTGCCTGCAGCCCCTTCGCTGAGGGACTTGGAACCGCGACAACCCAGCAGGTCTCTGAGCCCTCTGATCTATATAAAGGCTCCTCAGTCATGCGACCTGAGGTCATGGGGTGAAGAGCCTTTCAACTTGTCTTCAGCCAACACTCTGTAGGCCCCTGAGCCTGGGGAACACAGGCTGGTTGCCTCAGCTCTGTACACACACAGGGGCAGTGCCTCCTGGCTTTGGCAGGGTGAGGAGCCACTTTTGTGGTCTCTGCTCAGCTGCTGCCAGGAGCAGCTTCCGCTGGCCACATGCCCACAACCAAAATGTCCCCAGATGCCGCCAACTATTCCCAGAGGGAAAGGAATCAGTGGCTGGGATGACGGCAAGGGTGAGGTGGTCTCCTACAGGACACAGTCACCCCTTCCTGTCCCCTGGATGACATGTCACCATTATTTACCATCTTCTGTAGCAAGTACCAATGAGGGACCTTGGCAACAGTCAGCACTTGCGTTGAACTTGAGTGCTGGTTTCTTGGGACACAGAACAAAGCCACCTACATTTTGTCTTGGCTGATCATATGGCAAATATACCTCCAGCAACCAGTACCCAGTCAGAGTCCCATGAGTGTTTGCTGAGTGGCTGGATGATGGTCTCTGGTAATGCTATCTCTTTCTCTAGAATTTTCCAGGACGAGAGTTAAGGAACTGTCCATCGTTCGGGTTCTTGTTCCTGGCACACAGTAGGTGGTCATCAAGACTGGTTCCATAGAAGTGAGTTTTCTCATTGGGGCAAAAGGACAGTCAGAGTTATTTTGCCCCCCAGGAGAAAAGTGTATAGAAACAGCTGGCTGGTGCTGGTTGGAGAACGGAGGTAAGGTGGCTTTGTCCTAGCCAGGAACAAGGGCTCTCTACAGAGGGCACAAGAAGATGGGAGAGAGGAGGGAGACAGAGACGGGGCTTTGGGTAGGAAGGTATGTAGATGGTTGGTCTTGGGGTGGCTCTAGAGTTTCCCAAAGTGATCTGACCCCATCACTATGCCCTGATTGTCCCTAGAGTGAGCCAGGGAATGTTTAGACACAGGGAAAAAGCCAGCTGCTTCTAATCCTGAACAGGGGCCCAGAACTGTGCGTTTTTTTCATGCCCTCCTGCTTCTTGTCAAGTGTTTTATTTTCAGAGGACATGCTCAAGATGCGTCCATTGAGCTGGGGAGATGGCTCAACCAGGAAAATGTTCAGCTTACAAACATGAAGACCAGAGTTCAATCCCCACAAAGCACAGCAAAAGCCAGGGGTGATGCTGTGTAAGCGCCTGCACCCCATTCCTGGGGTTGGAGACAGGAGTCTCCGAGACTCACCTAGCTGACCTGTGAGCCCCAGGTCCCTGGGAGAGACCCAGTCTCACTGTCCAGATGGCTCAACAGGTAAAGGGGCTTGCTGCCAAGCCTGACAACTGAGTTTAGTCCTGGAACCTACATAGTGACATGGTGGAGGGAGAGAACAGATTCCCACGGCTGTCCTCTGACTTCTGTATGTGTGTCTTGTTCCTGGCACACAGTAGGTGGTCATCACACACACACACACAGAGACACACAAATACACACACACAGACACACACAGGCACACACACACATAACACACACACAGACACACACACACAGTCACACACACAGACACACACACACAGACACACACACAAACAGACACACTTGTAGTCGGACTGTCAGCTCCTGAACGGAGACTTTTTATTAATTATGAAGGCTTAGCCTTAGCTTAGGCTTGTTCCCAACTACCTCTTAAAACTTCAATCAACCCATTTATATTAATCTACATTCTGCTACCTATCCTCAGTTCCATATGTCTGATTTTCTCCACATCTCACTTGTAAATCGCCCCCTCTCAGATTCTTCCCAGAGTTCCTCTCTTTCCCCAGAGGCCCCACCTATCCTCTCCTGCCTAGTTATTGGCCATTCACCTCTTTATTAAACCAATCAGAAGTTACCTTAGGCAGGTGAGGTAAAACAGACATCTTCTCACAATGTGATCAAATATCTCACAACACATGCTCATAAATGAATAAAATGTAAAAAGAATTAAAAAATCAAACAAAACTCCAAAGAAAAACAAGGTGGGGGTGTCTGAGGGACGAGGTGTGGAGCTGGGTAGGCAATGGTTGCTGTTCGCTTGACCCTCCATGTATAAAGGCAGTATTTTATGTATTTATTTATTTATTGTTTTCAAGACAGGGTTTCTCTGTGTAGTCCTGGCTGTCCTGAAACTCACTCTGTAACCCAGGTTAGCTTCGAACTCACAGAGATCTGCCTGCCTCTGCCTCCTGGGTGCTGGAATTAAAGGTGTGAGCCACCACTGCCCAGTTCAGTAGTGTTTTTCTGGACTCTCATATCAAAGGTGGTGTTTTAACAAAGCCTGTTAAGTCCTTACAGTAACCGGGAGACCAGGAAGATGGCAGCGTAGGAATTCAAACCCAGGACCCTGTGTTGGGTTGGATTCCACAGAACAAGCAGCCACTAAAATGGTCAAATGACTCCTTTCTAGGGAGGGTCTTTGCCATGACTGAAACTCGAGAAGCTTCCAGCCTTTCTTGTGTTTCCTCTCGGCTAAAGAGCCCCTGGTTCCAGCGGTGGTGGCGGTGGTGGCGGTGGCAGTGAGGGTGACAATGGTGGAGGCAATGGCGGTGGTGGGAGAACCCAGGTGATCCTTGCCCTGGGTTGAAGTTGACCTTCGTTCCTTTTTTCTTTTTTCTTTCTTTTTTTTTTTATATATTTTTACGGTTTGTTTAACTTTATTTTATGTGCATCGGTGTGAAGGTGTCAGATCCCCTGCAACTGGATCTTCAGACAGTTGTGAGCTGCCATGTGGGTGCTGGGAATTGAACCCAGGTCCTCTGGAAGAGCAGTCAGTGCTCTTAACCACTGAGCCATCTCTCCAGCCCCCTTCGTTCCTTTTTTCTTACTCCCCTCCCCCGTTCCTGCTCTCAGTCCTCACCGAGGGGGAATTTGGGACTTGACTTTATTTCTGCGAGCATCTGTCTCCCACCAGAACTCCACAAGTGCTCAGAGTTCCTCGTGTTCTTACCGGTGCCTCCACCCCACACTGAGTCCGGTAGCAGAGTACACGCTCAGGAAAATCTAAAGCTGGGAGCCCTGAAGCCAGGGTGTCGTTGCAGGACCGATGAGCGCTGAAGTGGGCTTGGCTCCCTCTGCTGGCGGCCTGCTGCTTGCTGTTGAAATGGATGAAAGTTTATGAAACCAGGGAAAGCGGTGCTGGTCCTGGCCGCTCGCCGCTTTCGATGCAAAGCCATTATCATCAAGAATATTGATGACGGGTCTCTAGCGCGCCGTTTTAGCCGCTTGGCGGCGGGGGGACTCCGAGCTTTAGCAGAGGGACGTGTTTTCGCGCTCGCTCGGTCATGGAGGCGCGGTTCAAGCTGCTGGACACTACTACTCCGTCCCGTCGCTGGATCCGAAAGGTGGATCCTGCCGCTGCTGCTGCTGCTGTTTCTGTTGCGGACCCAAGCTCTGCAGGGCTTGGAGTCTGAGGAGCGGTTCCGGACCCGCGAAAATGAGTGCCACTTCTACGCTGGTGGACAAGTGTACCCGGGAGAGGTGTCCCGGGTTTCGGTCGCAGATCACTCCCTGCATCTAAGCAAAGCCAAGATTTCCAAGCCAGCACCTTATTGGGAAGGAACAGCTGTGATAAATGGAGAATTCAAGGAGCTCAAACTGACTGACTATCGTGGGAAATACTTGGTTTTTTTCTTCTACCCACTTGATTTCATCTTTGTATGTCCAACTGAAATCATCGCTTTTGGTGACCGAATTGAAGAATTCAGATCTATAAATACTGAAGTGGTGGCATGCTCTGTCGACTCTCAGTTTACCTACCTGGCCTGGATTAATACTCCTCGAAGACAGGGAGGGCTGGGGCCAATAAGGATTCCACTTCTTTCAGACCTGAACCTTTGATCAGTTCAAACCTTTGAGTCCTTTGATCTCAAAGGACTACGGTGTATACCTCGAGGACTCAGGCCACACTCTTAGAGGCCTCTTTATTATTGATGATAAAGGAGTCCTAAGGCAGATTACTCTGAATGACCTTCCTGTGGGTAGATCAGTGGACGAGACACTGCGTTTGGTTCAAACCTTCCAGTACACTGACAAGCATGGAGAAGTCTGCCCTGCTGGCTGGAAACCTGGTAGTGAAACAATAATCCCAGATCCAGCTGGAAAACTGAAGTATTTCGACAAACTGAACTGAAAAATACTTCAGTTGTGATGTTTGGACCTTCTCAATAAAGGTCACTGTGTTGTTACCATGAAAATAAAAAGAATATTGATGACAGCATCTCAGGCTGTCCTGGTAGCCATGCTCTGGTGGCTGGAACCAACTGCCATCCTTGAAAAGCCACAGCTACGTGGGCAAGAAGAAAATTGCCAAGGACCAAGTCCATTGTGAATGTGTACGACTACAATCACCTCATGCCCACGGGATACTCTGTGGACACAAAACTGCACAAAACTGGGCTCAACAAAGATGTTCTTAGAGATCCAGCTCTGAAATAGAAGGCCAGGTGGGAGGTCAAGGTCAAATTTGGGGTGTGAGGGCTGGAGAGATGGCTCAGTGGTTAAGAGCACTTCCAGAAGTCCTGAGTGCAATTCCCACGCATCCACTTGGTGGCTCACAACCATCTATGGGATCTGATTCCCACTTCTGTGAGAGTTAGCCAGTAATTACTTCGGCTAGCCAGGCAGCCGGGAGCCAGGAGGGATGAAAAGCAGGCCTGCTTGCCTCATCACTACACTCTTCTGTCATAAAGGTGTGTATGAAGATAGGTAAATCTTTAAAATAAATAAATCTTTAAAAGAGCCAGGCGGTGGTGGCACACGCCTTTAATTTAATTCCAGCACTCGGGAAGCAGAGGCAGGTGGATCTCTGTGAGTTCGAGGCCAGCCTGGACTACAAGAGCTAGTTCCAGGACAGGCTCCAAAGCTACAGAGAAACCCTGTCTCGAAAAACAAAAACAACAACAAAAAAAGTTTGGGCTGTGATACAAGACAGACAAGAACAAGTGGTTCTTCTAGAAGTTTTGGTTTTAGGTGTATTTTTATATCCCTTATTAGAAAATAAAGTCAGCAAAAACTGGGCTAGAAGTTCTGATTTTGTGGGGAGATTTGGATGCAGTAGACCTGTATAAAGGGTAATCTTGGTTGTCAACTTGACAAGTGGGGAGAGGCACTCACTTGAAGAATTGCCCCCATTGGATTAGCCTGTGGGCACGCCCGTGAGGTATTTTCTCGATTGCTGATTGATGGGGGAGAGGACCCACTGTGGGCAGTGCCACCCTGAAGCATGTGGTCCTGGGTAATATAAAAAAGCCACCTGAGCAAGCCATGGAGAGCAATGCCACGCCAGCATGGCAATGTCGTTCTTCTGAGCGAGGGATCTCGGGATTAACAAGCAACACAACTTCAGGTTCTGCAGACAAGCCTTTATTCCACTTTCTCACACAGCATATATAGCCCTCAGCAGGGGAGGCCAAGACAGCAAAAGCAGGAAGCTCATCGCTGTAACTCAATGGCTTAGGGGTAAACATCCTTAGAAACATTGCTGAGAACAACAGGTTGTTCCTGTTTTTGTTCCTGTTTTCAACCAAGTGCAAGAGTGCAAAACAGATCAAGTGGGGGTGCGAAGGCCTGTCCTCTAGGGACCCAACAATTCCCCCCTTTTTATTTTAAAAGCATGAGAGCCCCTGTCTTAGGACTCCCCCAGATAGAGACCCTTACCCGTCTACAGGAGGCCTCACTCCCTGTCTTAGGTGAGCTCGCTATACCAGGACAGTTGCCCGTTGTAGGGATCCCTCATGACTTCTGCAATATCTGCAGCCAGACTTGGGGCACTTCCTGATTTCAGGAAGACAGTCCAAGCAACACTTGTTGAGCAACAGTGTGCTGTATGCGGGATTGCCACATAAAGTGGCAGAGAATCCAAAAACAGATAACCCCAATAGCAATATGAATACAAATGAGCATTCCAGACAGTCGCTGGACCCAGCCCCCAAGCTGGGCCATGGCATTCTACTGACTGGATCCAGACACAGCAGGGACCCATGTGCTATTAATACTAACAATATGATAAGCTGTCTGCAGGGTGAAATTCAAAAAGAAATTCCAAGGGCCATCCAAACATGCATTCAACTGTTCAGCCACATCAGAAGCATTTATAACATTAGCAGGTGTAACGTACAAGACACTTGTTGCAGGAGTCAAAGGGAATCTACCTGTTCTTGCAAAAGCACAGTTTGTTGATTTAAATTTAAAAGTCCAAGTCCAATATGAGAGTCCAGAGCACTCTGTGTCTGCAGGGACTTGCTAACCCTTCCAGACAGCTGATTCACAGTCTCTGTAGTCACAGTTGTCTGTGAAATGGCAACTCCAGCAACCGTAGCCGCAGTGGCAGTGACAGCAATAGCAGCAACAATTGCAGCTGTTCGCCCACTGTCGATAAAGGATGATCTCCTGATGTTCTTGAGACACCAGCACCGGCAGAGGAATCACAGCAGGCACTCGAACGATCAAAGCTCCTCAGAACCATCCCAGCAATTACTCAGCTTGGAGATCCTGGAAGAACAATTAAGAATATCACCCCCCCCCAAAAGTGCCACTCCACAATACAAAGAAAAAATGGGGGAGGGACGCAAGCAGAGGATCAAATAGTCATATTGCTTCCAGCAGTATAACAAATCAGACTCTTGAGTGATACAGTATCCCCACATAACTGTCGGGTGGAGATTAAAACCTCCATCAGCATCTGAACACCAAGGAGCAGGTTTGGGACCATAGGAATTATGCAATACTAACTGGCATTAAAAGTGGGGGGTTTCCCAGCAGACTCCCCATCACTCATAATTCTGCTATTGTTACCAGAGTCATCAGCCTGAAGCAGAAGGAGCATTGTGGTCTTCATCCTGGGTCACTGGCCTTACGCACCGCTCTGGCACCCAAATTGGTTTATCAACTCCTGGAGGAAATACACATACAGCCCCCCCTCACCTTTGCCAATAAGAGGGTTGGTTCCATCCATCTTCCTGTTTTCAAATCTTTCCAATGAACCCATCCTAGGCTCTGAGCCCTAACCTGTGTATGACACTCCATAGGCGAGCACCCTTCAGCATCCACAGTCAAAAAATTTAAAATAAAGAGAATGGTGGGTAATTGAGTAGCTGGGGAGAATATGAACTCGCCCCTTTTAATTTTTTGAAAATATTGCTTGAGGGTCTGATTGGCTCTTTCCACAATTGCTTGACCCATTGGGTTATATGGAATGCCTGTTTTATGGGAAATTTCATAGAAGTAACAAAAGGATAAAAATTTTTACTGATATATGCTGGGCCATTATCTGTCTTAATAACCTCAGGTTTGCCCATATAGGCAAAAGCAGATAGGCAGTGTGCAATGGCATCTTTTGCTCGTTCTCCTGAATGTAAGGATGTGAAAATTACTCCTGAAAAGTTGTCTACAGATACATGGACAAATTTAAGTTTCCCTGCAGCAGGCAGGTGTGTAACGTCCATCTGCCATAACTGATTTGGTCGTAACCCTCGTGGGTTAACTCCTAAATTGGGGCTGCTTAGGAAAGGAGCACACTGAAGACAAGAAGATGTAATGGCTTGTGCTACTTCTCACGTGCATCGAGTATGATGCCGAAGGGAGCGAGCGTTAAGGTGAAATTTATCATGTATTTCTTGGACGCGGTCAGAAGTAAAGCAAACGTGTATATTTATCAGCTAAATCATTACTTGCTGACAATGGCCCAGGCAGCCGTGTATGACTGTGAATATGTCTGACAAACAAAGGCTCAGTCCGTTGCCAAATCAAAGCTGAGCAAATGATGGACCTTAGAGGTAGGTGATATATATGCAGATGTCTCCAATGGCTTAAAAATGTGGGCCATATACACACTATCAGTATACAAATTTACAGGTTCCCCAGGGAAGAGCTGGAGTACAGTGAGGCAGGCTGTTATCTCTGCACTAGAGCTGAGGCTGTCTTTCCCATTTTCTGACTCAGAGGTTATTGCTATCTGATTTTGCACCTGAAAGCAGGTAGACTTTGGCGCTAGCCTTAGTCCTGCGCCAGATTCCAAAGCTCCCCCTGGTACCTCTGCCATTTCCTTTTGGTCCCAATGCGACTCTGCCGATCCTATGGACCTGCGACTCTCCTCCTCCTGTATTTCTTCAAGTATCTCTTTAGCAGCTACAACCTCTGGTCTCACTTTCACTTTATCAGTAAGTAGGGCATCGCGAACCAGGTGCCATAGCGAAAAGGTAGATATAGGGACACTATCGGCACCCTCCTTTTGCAGCCATTTCTGCAAACCTGTTTTTACCTGTTTCCAATCGGAGATATTCAAACCTCCACCTGTCAAAAACCATGGGCTTGCTGCGGCTATATTCTTAAGAAAATCCTCTATAGTTCTCTCTTTGACCGCGGTTCCTTGTTTCTCTAACAATTTAACTATCTGATATATCAGGTCTCTCTTACTGCTTGTGGATCCCATTTTACCCCAATCCGTCCTTACGGGTCTAGGACGACCCCGTCCGCTACCCCTTCTTTCTCAGATCTCGGTGGGAATCTCCACTTTGCCGCGCCAGCTCGGCAACTGTCGTTCTTCTTAGCGAGGGACGTCGGGATTAACAGGCAACACAACTTCAGGTTCTGCAGACAAGCCTTTATTCCACGTTCTCACACAGTATATATAGCCCTCAGCAGGGGAGGCTGAGCCAGCAAAAGCAGGAAGCTCATCACCATAACTCAATGGCTTAGGGGTAAACATTCTTAGAAACATTGCTGAGAACAACAGGTTGTTCCTGTTTTTGTTCCTGTTTTCAACCAAGTGCAAGAGTGCAAAACAGATCAAGTGGGGGTGTGAAGGCCTGTCCTCTAGGGACCCAACAGAGCAAGTCGGCGTACAGCTTCCTCCGTGGTCCGAGCCTCAAGCTCCTGCCTGGCTTGGCTTCCAGTGGCTACACACTGTAACCTGTCAGTCGCAATGCATCCTTCTCTCCTCGTGTTACCTTTTGGTCGTGGAGTTTATGACAACAACAGGAAGTCAACATAAAGTCATGCTTAAATATAAAGCTTAAAAGACCTGTGGGAAACAGGAGAATTTCCAGAAAGATCTCGAGGGAGCTGTACTTGAATGCCAGCTGATGTTTCTTAAGGCAAGATCTACCTTCGGAAAAGGCGCGGGTGTCTTCTCTGTCCCCAACCGAGTACGGCAGACAGCAGGCTCTGCCTTGGGCAGCCCAGGACATTCCCTCAGGCTCCCTGTCCTGGTCAAGCAGCCAGGCAGTTCCGTAGCCGGCCGGCAGGGGGAGGCACTGCACCAGGCTCTGCGCTGCTGCCGGCCTGGGATGGGGGAATGGATCTGAGTTTCCACTAGGAAAATCATCTACTTGTTGATGTGTCGTCCATCTTCCCATCCACCCACCCACCCACCCATCCATCCGTTCCCCGTCTCTTCTCCCCCCTCCCTTTTCTCTCCTTCCTTCGCTCACTCCTTCCTTTCTTGTTTTACAGAAATGAGAGTCTTTCTTCTCTTTCTTCCCTTTTACAAAACCTAGTGTGGCACCTGTGTAAGCATTTCTTTCTCAGTAACCTGACAAGACAGTCATTCCATGTCAATCGGCGCAGAGCTGTCCTGTCCTGGGGACCTGGAGGACCCTCCCTGTGGCTATCACACTGCTTGGGTGTTAGGCAATGTCCTGTGTCCCATAACGTGGAACCTTTCATTTGCTGTCTGTTGCTTCCTTGTGTTTTGGTTGTTGTTTTGGGTCCTGGGGATGGAAGCTAGGGCCTTGCAGATGCCCCTCACCCCTTATTATCTCCTGGGATGAAAATGCTGGAGGGAGGGCTGCTCACTATCAAAGCCGAGGGGCTGGTGTCACTACAGCGGGCCTTTGAGGCTTCAGGGAACCCCCAGGACATGGCTTAGTTGTTTTATTTTTTGAAAATATTTATTTATTTATGTACTTTGTATGTATGTATGTATGTATGTATGTATGTATGTATGTATGTATATGGGTGTTTTGTCTGTATGTATGTACATTTGCACACCAGAAACCAGAAGAGAGAATCAGACAACAGTTATAGAGGGTTGTGAGCCGCCATGTGGGTGCTGGGAATTGAACCTGAGTCCTTCAGAAGAGCAGTCAGTGCTCTTAACCATCTCTCCAGCCCCCTTAATTTGAATTTTTTATTTTTTTATATATAACCTAACCTCCCTATTTTTCCCAGGCTGGCCTTGAACTCACAGTCCTCCTGCCTCAGCCCCCTGAATGTTGGGCTCATGCATCCCTGGTACTGAGTCGCTTGTTCTCAGAGTGGTTCTTTGGAGTGTGCATGGCTAGCCTGGAAGGTCATTTAATTTTCCTAATTCCATATGACTTTTTTCTACACTGGGCACCCATAGCTTTCTATATTAATTTTCCTCAAAAGGTAGTATTTTATCTTGTTATAAAAGCCCAACACACAAGGAACAATTAAAAATATATTTCAGCCAGGTGGTAGGGGCACACACCTTTAATAACTCTGTGATTAGGCAGATCTTTTTGAGTTTGAGGCTAGCCTGGTCTACAGAGAGAATTCCAGGACAGTCAGGGTGGTTACATAGAGGAACTCTGTCTTGGAAGCCAATATATATAGTCAGTCAAGGAGAGGTGGTGGTTGATGACTTTAATCCCAGCACTCGGAAGGCAGACGCAGGGAGATCTCTGTGAGTTTGAAGTCAGCCTGGTCTCCAGAGCGAGTTCTAGGACAGACAGGGCTATACAGAGAAACCCTGTCTCAAAAAACAAAACAACAATCAGAAAAAAAAGTATGTTTCAAAAAACAAAAGATGAGAAATGGGTGAAACAAACAAAGAGGAGCCCTGCTTGCCAGAGCTGCCCAGGGCATCCTGTGCCAACAGCTTCAAGACGGCCCGTCCAGCCCAGTCCCAGCCATGCTTACCACACGAGAGGTCTCATGCTTACCACACGAGAGGTTTCTCTCAGTCAAAAGGAATATTGTCAGAACACTGAGGACATAACCTGGTGTGTACTCAGGAGGCTGAGGCAGGAGGATGGCCTTGAGTCAGAAGGTTAGTTTGGGCTATGGAGCCACAACAATTACAGTCATGGTCTGCGGGGTGAGGGATGGGGGTCATTTAAATGGTGTTTTCATGTATGACAATACACCCTTCCAGACTGCTCCCTCCTGGGCTGCCTGGGCAGCCCCGCTCTTTGTCCCCATGTGATGCATCTCACAAGCAGATGCCATGTGGGTTGTCTGTTCCATCCTCCGTGGCTGGACAGTTGTGTAGTTTTGCTTGTGTAAACAAAGATGTTTGGAATATCCCTATGCTGTAGCCAGTGTCTCCAAGGGTAGGCAGACTTCCACAGGCTTGTCTACCATCCCCTACAGGTTTAGCGGGGACGGAAAGCAGGGACACGTGGGAAAGGACAGAATTCAGACACTGCCCGGGTTGGCCGGGCTTGAGCCCTCTGTCAAACCGGTGATGCAGTAGGCTCGATTCTCAGGACCCACACAGTAGAAGAGAGAAACGGCCATAAACTGACCTCTGACCCTCACACAAACGTTATGGCATGTACACACATGCAGTATGCATGCATGCACACACAGTAAATGAATGCACAAAATTGAAAAAGAAGTAATGACCAAACAGATAGGTTGCTACTTGGCTTTAGCGCTACTGAACCGACAGCCCGCAGCTAGGGTGACCACAGTCCGTGGCTAGGGTGACCACAGTCCGTAAGCAGATACAATGCCTCCTCACAGACATGAATCACACGCCTTGCATCAGCTTGGTTGTTTATGATGAAATAGAGTTCCTTTTTAACAGGGAGTTTTGAGAGTTTTTAAAATCAATTTGCACCAGGATTCTTTTCTTTTGCAAGTTGGGATTCTGTGTTCTCTGCCACAAGTCTTTCCCATGCTTGAGCTGTAAAGATGGTTTTCTGTAGCATGAATAATAAAAACCCAGAGACAGATTTTGGGGTTCAAGCTGAAAGATCAGAGAAGCAAAGCAGTCAACTACTAGAGAGTTCTTACCTCTATGAAATAATCTTCAGACTGAAAAGAGATTGAGTTCTTGTTTCATTCCTCTCTAGTGCTGGGATCAAAGGTGTACACCACCACTACCCGACCTCTATGGCTAACTAATGTAAATGCTAGGATTAAAGGTGTGCCGCACCTCTGCCTGGTCTGTATGGCTGACTAGTGTGGCTAGCTTTGCACTCTGATCTTCAGGAGAGCGTAATTTGTTAGATCACAAACAAACTATCACCACAGTCTCCTGTGTTGCTTCTGAGATGTTTTGTTTCCGGTTTTCCTTTGTCTATCAACTGTTTCAAGGTAATTTTGTAGGGAGAGCCAAGTGTGAGTGAGCAATCTTACTTTTCATGTTACTTTTACACAGGGAAGCCTGATGCTTTGAGCACAGTTCATCGAAGGCAATTATTTCTCTATCAAATTGAAAACCAGTTGCCTATGTGAGGAGGTCTCCAGTTTCCTGTGTGCCTCCCTGCCTACCCACAGTATATAGCTTTAGAGTGAGCTTTGAATCAGGTAATAGGGGCTGGAGAGATGGCTCAGCAGTTAAGAACGCTTGTCGATTCCTAACACCTACATGGAGGCTCACACCTGTCCATAACTCAATAAAATGTGATGTCTTCTCACTTGAGAATTTTAATTTGTCACTAGAGAGGCTGAGAGAAAGAAATAATTTTGTTTTCAGCCCAACAGGGGGTGTCATGGGCTGCTGGTCTCAGGCTGGACCAACAGTGGGTGCCATGGGCTGCTGGTCTCAGGCTTGACCAGTGGGTGGTGCTGCAGGCTGCAGGCGACTCTCCTGAAGTCTGTGGTAGTCTGCATGGCTAGTCAGAGCTTCCCCACCAGGTGGCGGTGTCACACAGCCCATTGGTCACCAGAACCCATCCTTTAAGCCACACTTGCCCTGCTCCCTCCTTTTATACATCCCAGACATCGCCTCTGTGTAGGAGCATGGCAGAGTTCTGAAGACCACCTCAGAAATGTTGATGTCTCAGGGTGAGGAAGTCCCCCCTGTATGAAAACAGAAGTTCTTTATGGCTGATTTGGAAAGTCCCTCCTGTCCCACTGTTACCGAATGCATTTCCTTGTTTTGTCTTTCCAGAAGTTTCTCTGGGGATCTTAGGGGACAAAATGGTGACGCATGGATGGTGGTTCATCCAGGCCCGTGAGAGCTGCTTATCAAATTCTGAGGTGGGGGTTGCAGGCTGGCTGCTAAGGAAGTCTTAGTTAGTGTTCCATTGCTGAGAACAGACACCTGTGACCAAGGTAATTTAGGAAAGAAGTATTTAGCCAAGGGTTCCCTTGCAGTTTCAGAGGGTGAATCCATGACCATCGTGGCGGGCAGCGGGGCATGCTGGTTGGCAGGCAGTCACAGAGTTATGGTGCTGGGGCAGTAGCTGAGAGCTCATATTTGATGTGTAAGTTGCAGGTAGAGAGAGACAGGCAGATAGACAGACAGACAGATTGGGCTTGGCAGTTTGTTAATCCCACCATATCTGGTCCTAAAGTTTTATCATTTTCTATCTAAATTCTGACTCAGGTGTTGGATGCAAGGTAGAAAAGAAACTTTTGTGGATTTTTTTTTAAAGACAGTCTTTTTAT